TTATTTTGATAAGCGCAATATCCCAAAAACGTCAGAAATGTCTCTTATTTAGTAAACTTCATTTTTAGATGTATAGAATGTATTCTCATACCAAATACGTAGTAAATAGGAAAGTAGACATAAAATCACGCCTAATAGCATCGTTTCAGTGAAATTTACATCTAAATATTGTTTAATAAGTAGTGTGGCATCATATATGACGGTTTGTCAACTGCCTACATTCTGTGTGTAAATTCCAAAACAGTTTTCCAGTGTTTTATAATTTCATTAACGATTTAAAGTTGAATGAGATGGAGTTAAACAGGTAAAACTGGATTTTGCTTGACTTCGCGGATGGGGACGTCCTAGGATCAACAGTTTTCATAAGGCGACATGCCATGAGGCCGGCCGGTACCTAATAATTTGAAATAGAACTGACAGGAGTGACCGTAAACATACCATTTTGTGTTTATAGAGAGAACCTTTCTTCCGTTAAATTAATTTATACTCTTCTTTCGTTTTGAGCTAGGTTTAGTTTCAGATCGGCCTCAAAATATTGCTGAATACTTCATGATTTTCAGTGTTTTCACCCTATCGTCCATAGAGACCGATTCTGAATTGCCTGTCTGTCGAGAACTTTACAATAAGATTGTTATTGAAAGCATTTACCGAATTACTGAGTGTTCAGGCGCTCCTTTTCACGAAGATGCTCGTTTGGGTCACATTTGAAGACTCATTCAAACATCAAAATTCATTTTCGAAAAAATTGTCGGTCCACAACGAAAGTCAGCAATGAATATGCCTTCGACCAATAAAAACACTTTCCTTAATAAGTTACCTTTTTAGGAAGTGCTTTATTACTGCATTCCGTCGACGGATCACTGTGTACTTTGCATTTTTGCACGGCGAGACCAAGTAAACATTTGACACTCTTGACGGTTTCATTCACGTTCCTAAGCAATACTAACATTTTTCTACCGTAAACGCAAGAAAATGCTTTATTGATACATTGATGTCATTTCCACTGTTTTTGCTTGCTTTTAGACTTCGCTCTTCGATTATGAATGCACGGCAGAGCGTCCATACAAATGCAGATATTTTGATGGATCTGAAAATTTTTGCTCGTTCTATTTCTGAAGAAAGTATGCACAGAAGCTAAAATACTAGAAAAGTAGTTTTTCATATGTTTAAAGATGGAAAAGACCAGTCCGTGGTGGTCATCTATGTGACATCAGGTAGAATTTTCCAAACTGCAAAAACGTTTCAGCCCACTTAAACGAAGGAATCTCTATCTGCGTCAATATTGCACTTTAGGTCACAAATTCGCACAGATCTGCTAATTGGACATATAGGAAGTGATAAAACCCCTGGTTTTCTTAAAATAGCCTTTTTGTTAGGAGATTGATAACCATAGTCAACATCGGACATGAAGTAAAATCTCTAGTCCGGCCAAATCTGTTTATTAAAATTATCGAGGGTGAATTACTATGCTTTCAATAAAAAAGTCGCTCAGAGGCTTAACTGGAGTCTAAGCCATGTATTAGCATAGGAAATTGCAGGAATATATTCAAACGTTAATTTTCGTTAAAATTTACTGATATTTTACCTGATATAATTACGTAAACACAATTTCTGTACAGGAAAAAGATATTTTCTTGAAGGAAGTGGATGAGCGAACAAAATGCGCAACGTTAAAGTCGTCCAGAAATTCTCTCATCAGATTCCGTTTTCCGATTTTATGAGATAGGTCACGCGCTGTAAATGCGCTATCGTTTTTCGACATCGAGAGTCCCTCTCTTAGGATAGGTACTCGTCAAATCAACAAGGCTATCACCACCGTCCATTTGTCCTGCTATCCCTCAGTTTAGTAAAGTGACACTGCTCAATCTAAAAGTTAGGAGTGTGACTCTAAAAAGCGGATGATTCTGCTCCAATTGGTGACGGCCTCTCCCAACTCTGACAGTTGGAGTAGATGTGTCATGAGTATATTGCTGTCTGAAAGGTACCTCATGGTCATAGCTACCTGTCGTCACAGTCGAATTTGTCATTAGAAATAACGCCGTGGGACGGTTGTTCCGCCTGCCAATAGGCGTTAGAGATTGTCTTGTGACCATGAATCCGCCGCTCTGTGAGAGGAAATTCGCCACCGTCGCCAACTGCCATGCCACTATTCAACCCACTGAGCAGGCCCAATGTCGTGTAGAACAGGTTCTACGCAGAACTGCGTGATCGTCTAGGCACTGTATCGGAGGCGAACAAACTCGTCATACAAGGTGTCAGCAATGCCCGCTGCCTGCGATGGGTGTGTACCAGGAGGATCGCAGTCAGCCTCGGCAGAGTTTTTTGCCTCATGTCGAAATTAATGAGAGTGGGTTTGACTTCGTGTACCTTCCCTTGTCACTTGTCTCCTCCTTAACTACGCACGCATTTGCTACCTGCTTAGGCACACGGTTGCACGCAGACGACTCTTGCCTAACCTCCTATCTGGCTCACCTCATACTCTCTTTACAACAATGACGTTCATCTGCTTATGGGCCAGATTGGTCAGGGGGCCAGAGTATATGTCTTCATCTGTCACACAATCGGACATAGGCAGTTTGATACATTAAAATCTTCCTGCCACTCACATCACAGTTAAGTACATATAAGTGTATACTCCGCAAACGAATTCGTGCAGTGCCCTACAAAAAAGTAGCAAATTACCTCGATGGTTTGGGCTTGTTTTTTTTAGATACGTACGATGCACAAGTTTAGCGGATTTGACTAAGTACTTATTCAACGTGGCTGAGAACGTGCTCCGCGCAGGCAGATGCGTGGACTAAAGAAATATCAAGTTGCCATGCTGTGGTCTACTTTGTGTTTATACAGCCTAGGTAGCCCATGAACTCATAGAGTGCTTCCTGTAATACTACAGTGAGTGACTGATCCCATGAAATATTGCCGGAAATTCTGAAATGTATTTTGTATTGGGAAGGATTACTTAGGTGCAGTTCTAATACTGCTTATCTTACGGCATAATTTTATCATATTTCTGACTCGGCAGGATGTCAGCTTTAAAAACACCGTTTTTTTAATCTCCTACAGAAACCGCACTCGGTAAGATATGACTACTCCATTAGGATGCATTTGTTCCATTGACTTTCGATAGTCTTGCAAATTCAAATATATTTAATATATTTAATACTCAAGGATGGATTAAAAATAGGTTTTAAAAAGTGTGATAACTGCCCATTTATTTAGAGCCTGGCCATTCGTTGCACTAGTGGATTAAGTCTACAAGGTGCATGCGTTCCGTGTCAAGAACATCACATATTTTTCTATGCCTTTAAGAAGATATCATATAGAGTCAATAAAATTTTGCAATGGATGCGAACTACGTTGTACATATCATGTGGAGCTGTGGTAGACGGAGAGGTACGATTATATTTGAGTGGATATTGCGGGGTCTTAAAAATCTCATAATAAGAAACTTTTTTAAACTTTAATTACACGCCTTCCATGAGTATAAAATATAAAGAAGATGTAATTCTCTAGTAAATGACTAAAAGAAAGTACATTGTCGTTTATGCTTTCTATAAAATAAATTTGAATTTGCAAGACCATCGAAAATCTATGGGAGAAATGCATACTAAATGAGTCGTCATGTTTTACCAAATCCGCTTTCTGCAGGAGATTGAAAAACAATGTATTCAAAAGCTGACATCCTGCCGAGTCAGATATATGTTAGTTTTATGTCGCAAGATGATCAGTCTTACAACCGCGCCTAAGTAACCCTTCCAATCTCATAAATGGTCGCACTCCAACAAGAATGCAATAAACGCGAGACTGCCGATTAAGTCAGGGTTAACTAAAATGCCCACTTCTACACTAGTCATCCTTGTCAGAACACGCAGCTTATGTGTGCGCACGTCCACTGCCCTCTACGCCAACAGCAGTTTGGCCGTCGCAATTGCTGACACACATTACGTATCCCGCCCTGCCCGCAGTGACCTCAGTTGTGACTTGCGCTTCAGTTAGTTTGTAGTTTGGCGAACTTAGGTGACATCCTCTGCACTCTTTCCTCCTCATCCACGTTTATTCGGTGGCAAAACAACGTCAAGGTGACCGAGAGAGGATGTGGACGCAGTAGTTGGCAAGGCCAGGCAGTCCGTCCATAAGTGCCATGCACGACCTGCGCCCAAATTCATGTGCCAGGCTGCTGTAAAGGTCCTTTGGCTATCAGGTAAGTTCTTCTACACAGATGACCATCAGTAGGGGTAAAAATACGAATAGTCCATTTCCTATGGATCGAAAGATAGGAGCAGGCAACATTTGTCCTGAGATATGTGTTAAACATGACGAAATTCTGGATTAACGGATTTACTCGGATATGCTGTTGCATTCGCAAAAAATTACTGTTTTACAGGTGCGCGTCAATTAAGTGGAGGGCTTCACACGTTAATTCTCCTTCGAATTTGAAAAACGCATGCCAGACACTACTCCGAAATCGACCTTCCATCAGATCTCCAGGGAGCCGAATCCCCGATCGTCGATATGGTTTTACGGTCACAAAATGGTTCTTCAGTTGGTGCTGTCGTGGAATGCAACGAACAGGCACAAATCTACCACGGTCTTCCGAACATGCATTTCGGCGTCGAAGTACGCACTGGGTTTGCCGTATGTCCGCGGCTGTTTATAATTGGACATGATCAAACTCAGAAATCTTAGGTTTAGGACAAATTAATGTTTTGAGCTAAACCAAATGAAATGAAAATGTTCTTTGCTGAAAACCATGTCGTTTTTTTAGAAATCCGTCGCAGTGTTAACAGGTGATTCCCCCAGTAATAAGTACATTCGCCTATTATTGGGAATAGCTCAACGATGCGGTCGGGTGAGCTGATGCCACCAAAACTGTAGCGTTGCGACGTTCCCATTTACCAATTAAGGAACAGCACAATGATTTGTGGCAGCCGTATATGCGCACCACACGGCGTGATTCCACTTTGCGCAGGAAGTAGCTTGAATGTCGCCCAGAATCGGACCTAGACGAGAGTTTCATAGAGGAGGTAGGCTGCGATCGCTGTTGGTTTTGGTATAAGAGGATATCTAATAGCAAAGATCTACAAGAGGATGAGATTTGTATGGAAAAGGCTTCGTGTGTTTGCATCCGAAATGGGAAATAAGAGTATCTTTTGAAATGGAAGGGTTATACTGACAAAGAAAATACGTGAGAACCCGAGGAAAACCTAGACTGACCAGATTTGATCAATGTATTTGAGGACCGAACAGTTGCCGAACGGAACTCGAATCTAAAGAGCCCTCTTCCATCAAGCAGTAAAAGGTCAAACATAACAACAAAAGCGGACTCTTCCGGCGATTCGCTAAAAGAGGCTGACACACGGAAGAGCCGCTCACGTGCCTCTTCGTATAGGACATCGACATCTGAGGATCCGGGCTCTAGCACACAAAAGGCACCAACCAATGACGCAGCGAAATCAGCAAAGAAGAGGCAAACGATCTCAATTAAGTCAAACGACAAGGAGGACAGTCAATTCATCACTCATGCCCCGCCTAAGAAAAATATAGAAAATACAGCTATTCTTGAAAAGCCTCCCCAGAGGACTACAGAAACGCCAACGGCAGCATCTAATGGTAGAGGTTTTGATCGAGGGCTCAAAGCAGAACGCATAATCGAGACAATCGAATCAGCCTTGAATGTAAGCAAGTAGAACTCATTAACCACGCCAGGCAGAAAAAGGCGTACAGTGCAGAAAACGAGCAGAAATTTAACACATGCTTAATTAGGGTAGATGGGAGAGCGCAGCCCATTCAAACGTGAGTGCTGACGGCAAAGTGTTCTCTGCATTCTCCATTTGGCCGAATACACTTCCGTAAGAGTAGGCACTGTATCTTCACCGATTTTAAGAATTTAAGGGATATATCGTCAACTCAACAGTGGACTTCAGTAGTGTGAATCGAATTTTGCAACAAAACCAGGGGAACCGATAAAGAGCTTCTGATAAGAACACTGTTGCTGATCTAGTTATAAATGCGTCCATAGTATCACGATAAAGAGGAAGAAGTAGTGAACATGGTGAGTTAATAAACGGCGTTATATTAAAACTTAAACCATCCCCTTTTGCTGTCCTTTGCTCGCAGATTTTCCTAAAGCACATATGAAATATTCGCTAAATGCCTTTATTTACTTTCGGAATTAAATGTAAACTTAGACTTTTAAATTCCCATGAAAGTATTCAGAAGAGAAGTTGGTGAGCATTGGTCTGTTTTCAAAAAATCCTCGTCCGGACGGTACACTTACAGTGCGTGACCTATCTCATGAAATGTCGGCTGAAATTCTGAAATGCGTTTTCCATTAGGAAGGATTGCTTGGTCGCGGTTGTAATACTGACTATTTTGCGGCATATTCTTATACAATTTTGGACTCGGCAGGATGTCGGCTTTTAAATGCGCTTCTTTTCAATCTCCTGTAGAAAGCGTGCTCGGTAAAAGACGACTACTGAAGTAGCATGCATTTTTCCCATTGATTTTCGATGGTCTTGCAAATTCAAATATATTTTATAGAAACCACAAACAAAATATGCCTTGTTTTAGTCAATCAATAGAGAATCACGTCTTTTTTATATTTTATACTTAAGGAAGGAGTAGAATTAGATTTTAAAAAAAGTTTTGTAATTGCCGAACAATTTGGAGCCTGATTATTTGTTGCATTAGCGCTTAATGATTACACTCTACACGGTGCATGCGTTCCGCATAAAGAAAATCTCATATTTTTCTATGTCATTAAAAAGATATCATACAGGGTCCATAAAATTTTCCAATGGATGCGGTCCATGTTGTACATTTCATGAGGAGCTGTAGGAAATGGCCAGGTACGATGCTATGTGAATGGACATTGCGCGGTCCTAAAAAATCTCATAATTAGAAACTTTTTAAAACGTAATTATACTCCTTCCTTAAGTATAAACTATAATGAAGACGTGATTCTCTATTGATTGACTAAAACAAGGCATATTTATGTTTGCAGTTTCTATAAAATATATTTGAATTTGCAAGACCATCGAAAATCAATGGGAAAAATGCATGCTACTTAAGTAGTCATCTTTTACCGAGCACGCTTTCTACAGGAGATTGAAAAGAAGTGCATGTAAAAGCCGACATCCTGCCGAGTTCAAAATGTTATAAGAGTATGCCTTAAATTAATCAGTATCACAACCGCGACCAAGTAATCCTTCCTAATGGAAAACGCATTTCAGAATTTCAGCCGACATTTCATGAGATAGGTCACGCACTGTATATGTAAAAGGGGCAATTAGTGATTACGGTTCGCATCAAAACAAGGGGGTGTGGGAAATCGGGGGGTGGCGGTGATAGCAGTCAGTGCCAGGGAGGAGGGGTTTGGGAGCAGAAGCGTTAGTCGATCTTTGACCACGGTAGACGCGGAGCCTCAACGCGGTTCTTTTACGCGCACATGATCGGTTTTCTTTACCTGAGGGCAACCGCTTCTGCTGTTGCTAACATACGCTGGCTCGGAGTAGAGTAGCTATAGTGGACCCAATAAATCGTTTGAAAACTTCTCGGAGGTTCACACGATGCCCTGAATCAATACTAGCGCCAGATCAACGCTGCATTTGCTCCTAGATTGGTATGTTATTCAGTCAGTTATTCAGGTGGGGTAGTCAGTTCCAGTCACTCCGGGGGCCCCTGGACTGGCTGAAACTGACCGCCTCACCGGATCTCACGAATACCGATTACGTTGTATTATCCTCTTACAAGTCATACGTGCCAACTTCTGCATCCGACCGCAAGCATCCTATCAACTTACATTTCTGAACATTTATAAGATACCTCTATAATGGTAGGTTGGAGCTGCACTCACCAGTTCTATCTTCCCACGTTCCTGAGCTCTAGGGGACACCAATGCCGTAAACAGACGATTCCCAAGCGCATGTCAGACTCGATTACTAAGCCCATCCGTCAACTGGCCATACGTAACCCTCCGTAACAGACAAACCGCAAAGTGTCTGCTCATGCTATTGCCTGTGCTGATAGAATAGCAAATCATTTTCAAGGTATATTTATATGCTGTTTACTGTTAATTGACAACGTGCGAATGCTGTGGACTTATTTCACTGAGGTTGTTGAAAGTCTGACCAAATAGTGCTTTTAGATTGTGGACGGAATTCAAAGCGAAAAATCACGAGAAGCATAGGCGGAATGTGAACAGTGAATTCTGGCCAATTGAAAACCTGCTAACTATTTACCATAAAGTAGATGTGGTACGCAGGACGGTCCACTGATTAGGTGGTGCAGCGCGATATCAGCACACCGTGCGTTTGGGTTTTTTTACTTCATAACTGTGCTGTGGCCATAGGGGCATTGGCAGGGCCCCAGTCTCTCCAGTCCAAGAACATTGGATTATGATTACTCTCTATCATTCACTGAGTACACGTTTCTTGATTTATTCTGACGGCAAACTTCCGCGAGGTGTTGGTTTCCCCAATGACCTGTGCGCACCTCACGAAGTCACTACCTCATTAACGCGTAGGGCTTAATGCAACAAAGGACGGTTTTTCGGAGAATTTAATTTTTCCTAGTCATTAGGTTAATCGTGTGAACTTGAAAATAATCGGTTACATTCTTTTTAATATGCGTTGTCGTCATATGACCTATTTGGAGGCATTTTTAATTCCTTGTCTGCATACACGGTCAGCGAGCGACATTTCGGACACTTCATAACCATAATACAAACACCAAAGATGATAAGTAAGTGCTAACAATGATTTTGCATCGCCTTAGTGCTTTGAAAGCAGCCTGGCACCGACCTCGATGTTCTATATGCAATGCACTCTAGGTGTTTGCTCGCCCGCACATTTAAATCTACATATATGTAATAAAACATATTAAATTGGCAACATCCATTCATCAAGAATTTGCGCACCCGTAATCTAATCTTAGTGTATAAGCGTACACGAGAAGATTGAATGTATACAGATTTTTATTAATACTATACGGAAAATCAAACATTAATACTTGGCACATTCTTTGCCGGTACCTGCAAAACATACGGTCTGGATTTCGAACGGTTATATATGGTCAGAAGAGCGGTAGAGGTTCGCGAAAACGGAAGGATCGAAGCTGGCTGCTGGACCCTTGTAGATACGATCAGCAATTGCGTACTCAAGACAGTCATATCCTTCAGGGAAATAGTTCTCATGGAATTTATTAGCAACTAAACTGTGGGAGTTAACTAATTCCGGCAAATGTTGGGATCCGAGAATGCAAATACCACGCACGTACTTGGTAGGACACGGAGTTGGCCTCCAATGCTTAACGCGAATTAATCCCGGAAGTCGAATTACCTCCACGTTCTTATCACTCAACTCGTGGAGATGCCAACAGGCTCCAGGGGCTCCCAGGTGTGCGTTGTAGGCGAGGGTTCCGTACAACTGCTCATCGGGGATTTTCTTATACGCGAACTGCCTCAACGCTTCTGTCACCTCGATCGCCCTCTTGTCATGAAGCATAAACTCCACGAATTCTCTCTTTGCCACGATGTGAACTGAATTCTTCATCCAGGTCAACTATATATCAGACAATAAGACAAGTTGAGTCGCATATATGTGGGTTGTTTATCATACAAGCAGATGTTTATCAAACATATGCTCCTTTAGTACAACTACGTATAAAAAGAGGATCTTAGGCATTTTTTTCCGACTAATGAGAAAAAGTTGTTTTTCTCGTTTCTGTAGGCTATGTGCGTTTGGGTCTGCCTTTTTGGCTGCTCGTATGCCCCACGCGCATGTAATCTGGAAACATGCGGAAAGGATATCAATATGGCTGCTGCACAACGTACTTTGAGTGACAAAATGAGGCTAAACCATTTTAAAACCCAAGCTGCGTTCTGACCAAACCCAAAATTACGATGCTGCAATCAGCACCTATCCAACCCGAGTTTGGTTAATAATCAGCTGTAAGGACAGCAGAATGCGGAGAACCCTGCAACTTATTAGAGAGCTCCATTGTTCTAAGCAGATGGGACAGCAAGTGTAGGTCACCCATTGACTCTAGGAACGTCCTTATTAACTATCGAGAGCAGTGTTCTGAAGTCGAGTTAACGTAATATCTACTTACCGGAAAGGATAAGTTAACCTTAGGGATCCGCCATTCGTTTCGCCGTTTGATGGTGGCGCTGACAAGGTTAGAGCCGTTCAGCATTCTCAGACCCAGTACTAATTCCAGATTTGTCTTTAGGGGTAATTCCTGGCCAGTCAAATTTATCAAATACTTCCATTTCCCCATTTTGAGTAGCAGACGCGCAGCAACAAGCTCCTGTTCAAGGACCGTGTATTCTCCCCAGGTGACGTTAATACTTTCGTTCCGAGAAACAACGCCAACATTGTTCCCAAAACACTTTGCAATTTCTTCTACTGCCTTATAGAACATAGATGGGGACTTCTTGTCCACGTGAATGACGTAGAAGTTTTGTGGCCGATATATGAGGCGCAGTAGTCGCGCCACCTGATTAATGTCCTTGTATACCGTAAGGAGAAATGCCAGAGGAAATGCTCGCTCTGCATCGCTAATTGGCACTTCGTTAGGGAACAGTTTTTGCTTGAAGTTCTTGCAGTTTTTGCCGAAATATCTGTTTAAACTTAAAAAGTATTCATGCGTCTCCAGGGGAATGAGTCGTTTGGATTCATTATGAATGTTCGACGCGTTGTCGGAAAAGAGCATATGGCATCGTTGTGCCAGGTACTTGGCAGAAGGGAGGGTTGTCTCCCGTTCACGGGCGCGAGGAGGCAAGAAGATGTGCATCTCATAAAGCAGGAACAACATAAAACCCAATGATGTAAATATTACGAAACGATGCAGATGCCCCATCTGGTATACCGATAGATTCGGATTAGTCTGAGTGTCCTTTGGTTATCTGTTGCCGACTGGAGCACCTTTGAAAGTTCTTGAGCTGGCGTTATATATCGTTGCTCGATTTAAAATCTGCAATTGGTTAATTTCACACGGTGCATGCATGCGACTATTAGCTGAAGAACGTTGACATGAAACAACGTTTTTTAGGCGCAGAAGCATAGCTTTCCGGCATGCTTGTTCAGGTGATGTTCGTCTACTTACGTTTTGCCCTTTAGATTTTCCGATATGATTCTATATAACCGGTGCTGTGTTCTGCAATCTCACACGCATCCTCGACTGTCGCTCGTGCCGATCAGTGCTTCATAGCATTCCAAACCAGTCGATTATAGAGAATTTCTGGATTGCACTTTGTCAGCCTTGTCGTTAACGCTTTTATACTCAGTGTTTCGTGGCCTTATCACATCGTTATATTGTGGGAGCTTTGTTGATTTCGGGGGTATGTATAGAATACATGCATTTTTCCGCAGCATCTTAGTGTGCACATTTATTTCTATAGCGCTATGAATTACATCTAATCCACCTTCATTATTACCAATATCTCAAACGCAAACAACGGTAAAACTACCAGAATACAATATAAGGCGATGAGTATATACTAGGTATTGTTGGCATTCAAGCCACTACAACGAATTCAATCCTCCTACAATATTTTGTTAATAATTCATGCACAGCTCATCTCAGGTAGATGTTTCTATAAGACATTCCGTTTTCCACATGAAAACGTGGAAGAAAGGTTACTTGCATTTTTGAGTTTTTTACCCAGACTATGCAAACGTAAGTTGGTATAAGCTATTTCCCAAAGGGCTGGAAACATTCGCTCCAATGACACACTGGATGCAGAACTTACACACCTCAAGGAAGCTCTGCTTATTTTGGCACAATATCTGCGTGTTTCTTGTTAATGCTACATCGCCTTGAGTTTTTCTGCCAACCAATTCGCTATCGCCTACTATAGAGAGTTGCACATTTCCCAAAATTAGACGTAATACATCCTGGATAAGCAATAGAGTCGATGGATATATGTGTCGACTGGACGGAGGTTTTAGAGGTCACGGTCACTAACGAACTCCCCCACGACTGGAGCCTTCTTATACAGTCGGCCACTTTTGCCTCTACCTCATCCGTACAATCTTCTTCCTTGCACAGTATCCTGAATTAATTTTGGTCTGACACTATGCAATGTATCTTCGATTTTCAATATGAAGTATTATGCTCATTACACGTGACCCGTTTCACTGCTGGAAATCTGCCGACTGCAGACTTTGTAAATATGGAGTAGGTCCGAAAGCAGTCTGAAATGAACTCATGTCTGCTGGGGTTTCCAACATTCCATAGGGGACTACGTCAGATGTCTACCCGACAAAGCATGCTGTGCAGCGTCTGGTCGATATTTTCTATCTGAAGCCTGAGAACCACAAGCAAATGGGACATTGGGATTATGGGTCCGGTGGAAATAGAGTTTCTCGAAATAGATGAGCAAACTTACCCAAAAGTCACCGGTCTGGTTGAAAAAATAGGCAATCAATTGTTTCCTGAACAACCAGAGTTCAAATAAAAAAATCCACAATATGAAGTTTAGATAAAATCATGTTTGCCACTGTCTATCGGAAAGCAAAATATTAGCGGCATACCAAAAACAAAGCACTCTGCCTACCATATCGTTAGTAAATGTGAATCGAATAGGAATAATGATGTAGTCAATACAGCTAACAAGTAAGCATAAATTCAAAAGCAAGAAATGATTTTGACTAACCTCTGTACTGCAAACTCGAAACAATAAAACGTGAGTACGTAATTTCACATGGTGCATGCTTGCGACTATTAGTTAAAGGACGTTGGCTTGAAATAACGTTTTTAAACGTAGAAGCACGCTTCTCCGGCATGCTTGTTCAGCTGATGGACGTCTTCTTATATTTCGTCCTTTAGATTTTCCGATATGATTCCATATAACCGGTGCAGTGTTCAGCAATGTCACACGCATCCTCTACTGTCGCTCGTGGCGGTCAGTGCTTTATAGCGGTTCAAACCATCTGATGATAGAGGATATCTGAATTGCACTTTGTCAGCCTAGTCGTCACCCTTTTCGTGCCCAGCGTCTCACGGCGTTACCACCTCATTATATTGTGGTAGCCTTGTTGGCATTTTTCAGTAATATCTCACTGTGCACAATTCCTTCTCTATCGCTATGAATTATATCTAATCCACCTTCACTTTTACCAATATCTCAGACGCAAACAACATGAAAACTACCAGAATACAATATAAAGCGAAGTTCATGAACTATGTGTAGCTGGCAAACAAATCACTACAACGAATTCAACGCAACTACAATATTTGGTTAATAATTCTTGCACATCTTGTTTTTCCGCAGATCAGCTCGGTTACATGGCTGCAATAAACCTTGATCTACTGGCTGAGTTACAGA